GAGAGAGGGGGCGGGAACGGGTGATTGATGGCCCTCTGTTCACACCCTTCTCCTCTTATATCGTCCTTGGGCTGCGCAATGAGTCCCTGACGGTCACAGCTGCGGCCTCATCGCGGCTCCCACAGCCTGGGCTGGTTCCCAAGCTTAGGAATCAAGCTCTACCGGTATCAAAGGATGTGTTGGCTGCGTTTCCGCTCCCAGGGCTAATTTAGGCGCCACACTAATGTGCAGACATGAATGGCCGACGTATTGCGCAGAGGGCATGACGGGTCATTGGAATCCTACTAGACGGTCGCTTGTCAAATCAAGTCATATGCTGATGCCCGAAGCCTGACCCACTCGCGTCGAAACTACAAGTAACTCTGGCATCTGCGCAGATAGCGGGACGCGTCTCGAGCGTAAACTCAGAGTCATCCCATATCCATCGATCCAGCATTCTTCTGCGCAAACGACGTTATAAGCTCAGAGTATAGGCAAAGGGGTTGGGCGTGTGTTGCAGCCGACGCCGCACAACGCAGAACGCGCGCGCGTCGCGTCAGGTTCGGAAGATGCCGGTGATGCCAACAGAGTGCATGCGCGTCCTTGACCCCTCTCATACTGTTACCACCAGCTGCCACTCGTCTCCAGGCTTCTGCTGTGGGATCCCGTGCGAATGCGGAGATACGCGTGTGATATCTTGTATATCATTTCAATGTGACGTGCCTCTGCATACTGTTATTAACCTTTAATCCAGACACTGTAACACCTAGGTCCTTGCTGACGCGAGAGCAGATGAGGAGACTGCTCCCGCACGTGTATGAATGAGCACTGGCTGTGTGCTTCCCCGTCTACCGAAGGAAGGGTTGGGAGGAGCAGCTAGCCGGCACTACATAGCCGGGAAGGTGCGTCTAAAGCACGCTTCCAAGGTTCGCGATTGTGGAACGCTACACCAGCTCCTTCTATCTACCCTTCCCTGCTTGCCACGGTGCATCCACGCGCGCACCAGCCACAGGACCACTAAGGTCTGCATTGGAACGTAAACGACGACAACAACTTTGCCTTGCTGCGGTTCTTCTGTGTCTTCCTGCATGTTGGACAGGACATGCCAGACCTGGCGACGATAGGCTTTACGTTCGTGTCCACGCTCTGACGTCCGATCACACGTTATCTGACCACGGAAACATATGCCAAGGGTCCGTCCTCGGACATTCCACAGCTCGCCACTCGCGGGAGAAGCAATGGTCACAGGATGCTCTATTCGTGCAATGCACGCTTGATGAACGCGGTGCATGAAGACTTGTCAGGATGCCCAATTTATGCCCGAGAAAGAGAGAGAGAAAAGCGAAAACCACACGTATGTCCCAAGAGCTACGACAACTACCGGACCCATGTCCGCGCTTCAGCTGAGACAGCTCTTACGCGTCATCGATGGTCACCTCAAGGATCTCGCCGATCCAGCGCGCCGATATCCTGAGACACGCAATGTTCCATTGTGAATCGCAAAGTCAGCTGTGGGATCCGAGGATTAGAAGAAGGCGTGGTTCCGTACCGCGTGAGGTCCCTGACAATGTAGTCTGGCCGCGCGCCCGAGTCGAGCAGCGACTGCCGTGTGTGTGAGGTGCAGACGGCGATGACCTTGCAGCCTGCCGCGCGACCTGCAAGAATCCCGGACGGCGCGTCCTCGACGACGAGGCCTAGTGATCGGTGTTCAGCATCCCAAGGCGGCGCCACATGTAACGCATGTCGCTACTTACAGTTCGCGGGGTCGACGCCTAGCCGACGCGCGCTGGCGAGGTACGGGTCGGGGAGGGGCGTGCCGTTCACGACGTCGTTGGACGTGACGAGGCCAAGGGGCGGCAGCGGCAGCGCGCACCGCTCGAAGGCGCGGGCGGCGTACACGTTTGTCGCTGCGGCCGCGGTGTCAGCGATGCTGTAACTTGGCGCCGAGAAGGGGAACGGGCCGGGTTGGACGCACCGGAGGTGACGATCGTCCAGCCGGACGCGGCCTCGGGGGGCCCTGCCCCGATCTGTGCGGGGTGTCAGAAGTATACGCACGAAAGCGAGGGAGGGGCGTGTGTGCGCGTACGCGATGCAGAAGGTTGAGTGCACCCGGGAGGACGAGAGGGCTGCCGCGGATGACGAGCTCTTCGAAGCGGACGATCTCTGCCTGGAGGGCCAGGCGCGGCATGCTTGAGAGGTGCTGCTGGCTCTGAGGAGAAACGGGACGTGCGCACCTGGAGCTTTTCCTCGTCGTGGATGTGGCAGTACTCCTTGAGAGTGTCGCACAGCCGGCGGCCGTGGGCCCTGCGTGCGACGTCTGCGGCGTCAAAGCCATAGTCAGTGGCAAAGGCATGCCAGGCTTTTAGGACGCCGGGAGTCGAGTCGATTAAGGTGCTAGGCGGAACGGGGTGATTGGTTCGTGATCAGAAGGATTTGCGGTGAGATTGAGGACACACCCGTCGAGATCGAAGAGGATCTGTAGGAGAGAGTGAGCTGGGTCTGGAGGGAAGCTGGGTGGACTCACTGCGTGGGCTGTGACGGTGTGCATGGCTTGGGGAGGGCGGGAGGTTGTGAGAGGGAGAGTCGGAGGATGGGCATCTTAAGGACGTGAGTATCGACGAGCGACGGTCTCTAATAGAATTCGAATTTATTATCGCCTTCGTCCCCGGACCTTGAGCCCATCACGGGATCTTCGAGGATACACACCTGCCATTTCCGGTAATCCCAGATTAGCTTCCAGCTCCGATCAGCCCCAGGTCCATTTAGCCTTTGTCTCCTCCTCCGACGCGCTCTCCACTCCCTCCTCGCATCCTCCTCGTTGTCAACGCCGGCCCTCTTTGCAGCACCCTCGCAGCACCTCAAAGACTCTTTGCCATCCAGCACGTCTATGAATCGCTCCATCCTCCACTGAGTCTCATTCATCCCTCCGAGTCGGCGGCCCGGTGCTCTGCTGTTTCACTCCAAGACTCTCCGGAGAAGACCGTTTGACCCTCATTGCTCGACATCAGGTTTTCTGATCTCCTCTTTCTTGCCTGCGCTGCACTCGCAACCGCCAGGTTTATTTCTCTCGCGCCGCCGGACTTTCCTCAAGCAGAGCGGCGAAGACGCCATCGCACCGAGGTCATTTTGCTCTCGACGCGCTCTCTGACGCGCCACATTACCAACATTTCGCGATCCTCACATCTGATCCATGCTGCAAACATGACGAGGGCTCGTTCGCGAAATGAGACAATGGCAAGTTCGCCCCCAGTCCATGTGGGTCAGGCCTAGAGTCCACCGCCACGAACGGCTGCGTGCGGCACAACTCCACCAGTGCCGTAAGTGCTTCCCGCACGCATCTGGATGACACCTGACCACGTCTTCTAGGCTCGGATAGCCAGTGCGAGTGCCATTTCCAACAGCACAGGTCGCGCCACCGGAAACTCTAATAACCCCGGTATCGGCATCCCCAGACCTCTCTCACCTTGTACCCTCAAATGATCAACAACTCTACAATAGCCAGGACCAATGAGTATCCTTTCCCGGCGCTACCTTCCCGTACCCGCCGCAGGCCAGTTTCCCTTGCTGACGTTCCCGAACAGCTTTGTCGTCTTCTGCCTGACTGCCGCTCATGAACGGGCAGCAGATCGCAGCACGACTAGTGCAACCCCACGCCCAATGGGCATCGAGATCGCGGCGGCAGCGGACATCCCCATCTGCCGGGTTCGTGCTCCCGACGAACGGGACGCCATGCTCCTGCCGGACACGACCTGTACCGCCTGGAGCTCGCTGTCCATCACCACCGCCGCGATAGACGACATAGTCTACGTGATTGCTGAAGTTGTCTTTCTGCTGTGCGCCGCGTGTGCCGAGGCTGATGTATGCGCGCGCAGTTTACTGTCAAGGCTGGTGCTGGCGACACCGCCACCTCTTCTGCGATTCGCGCCGCTTCGGCTTCCGCAGCCAACTGATCTGGTGCTTCTCGTCCTGGCATGCAGCGACTGATACTATCCATATGTATCACTCCCTCGTCCTTAATCTTGTCATGAAAATCAATGTCAACCATTACAGCATCCAGTTACACAGACAATGCAGCTTAGCAACGAACGAATGCACATATGAAACAAACAGGTATCTTGCGTGCGTGCAGCGGTGGTATCACCTCCGAATGAATGAACCATGAAGAAAGCTCTCATCGTCTAGCCACCCCAAACACGAGAACGGATGCGGAAGATCAGCCGCCGGCTGTGAGACAGACGGCGCGCGTCGCGACCAGGGCGCCCGCGGCGCTGTCGAACGGCAGGTCGACGGTGAAGAGCACGTCGCTCCGGTCGCCGTTGAGGTACACCGGCAGGTTCACGGTCTCGCCGTCGGCAGCCGCCCGCGCCTCGTCCTTCTGCACCCACCGGATCTGCGACGGGTTCAGCCGCACGGTCTCGCCATTGTTCAGCGTCAGCTTGTCGGTCGTCCAGCTTGCGCCTTCGAGTACGAGGCCTGGCGTTGTCGACACAGTCAGAAACAGCGCATCATAAGAGACGTTTTTTTGGTTTACGTACCGTCTACGATGAACGCGCTCGGGTCGTTCACGCGCTCAATATCGAGCTGCAGGTGCAGCGTCTCCAGACTCCATTTCTTGCGATGCGCAACAGCCTGGCGCGTCGCCGTGATGTACGCCTCGGGGAAGAACAGCCCGCCAAGCCACACCTCGACATTGTTGAGGTTACCGAGCCCGGCGATGTTTGTCAACTGCGCGAGCCGGCGCGCAAAGTCGGACACCCACTCGGAGACGGCCATGGCCTTGTGGACCTTGTAGCGGCGCCAGTGGTCAGGGATCGTACCTGGGCAAGTAACTCAGCATTGGCACAGAACCAGGATTGAACATGATGTACTTACCCTTTGTCAACGAGCTCATGAGGGTCCGCAGGTGGTTGGTCTGCTTCAGTTCACCCTGGCAAACCTTGATGACATCCGCCAAATCACGGCGGACCTGGCCAAGAAGCTTCTTGCCAATGCTGTCTTCGCGGAAGAACAGTCGATAGAGAGGGTCTTGGTTGTCGCCACTCTGCTTGTCAAGACCGTGGAATTGCTGTGCGATCTCAACATCAGTACAAAATCTTAGACAAAGCACAAGACCGACGTACAGCAGGCAGCTGCTCGAGCCATTCCTTGCAGCGGTCGAAGAGCTGGCGCATCCAAGCTGGCTGCTGTGTCGTCTGACCCTTAACAGGACCGCTCGTAGCTGCTTCGTCGTCGTCGTCCGCAATCATACGCATCTTTCGGAGCTTGCCAAGCAGTTCGTTTCCTTGCGCGATTGCAATAACCCTCTCCGCTGTTGGGGGCAGGCTAAGCCATGCTGGAGGCTCCCGATCTGGTAGGTTCTGCACCCAGGACATGAAGTGCTCGAGCTTGGTACCGTCCGGCACACTGAGATTCTGCGAGCCAGAGATGGTAGGCACCAGGTCGAAGTCGACGTTATACGCCTGCGAAGTGAACAGCCCATCCACGAACGCGTCGAGGATTCTTTGGTCAAAGTCACTGTCAACCCTACCGCCGTACACGGATTGCTTGATGAGTGTGCGGACAGCATCCCAAGGGATAGACGCGGGGTCGACGTTGGCGCGGCCCTTGGCCGCTGCGTTGAGCCAGGCGTCGATAGTATTGAAAGCGGATGCCAAGTCAGAGTCGTTGAAGTCGTAGATCTTCGACCATCCGAGCGGTACGTAACGAAGACGTTCCTGGACAACGGCATGGAACCAGGCAAGCAAGAAGTACAGGCGGATTTTCTCTGCCGGACCTTGCGAGAGACGAGCGCCGGGGATGCCACGGAGCGAGTCCAAGAGGTTAGCTTTGATTCCCGGAGGAGGCTCATTCATGAAGATACGAGACTGCCTGAGAATATTGACAGGGATAGACGGATTGGTCTCCATGGTCAAGAAAAGGCGGAAGTTGCGGTTCGGGCTCAGAGTCTGTAGCTTTTTCTCGAGTTGACCCAACCAAGATGGTGCCAAATGAACGTTCTTGAGTAGCACCCAAGAACCTTGGCGAGCAGCCGTCGCGATGGCCTGATCCGCTAGCGCGAATCCCTCTTGAGACCCCATAGCCACGGAAGCAGATCGGGCTCCGACATTCTTGACGAGGTTCTCGACACGATAACTGGCGTCGTAGCCTGCGACGGAAACGAGCGACAAGGGAGTAGCAGCAACTACCTCGTCATTCACGACCGCGCCGAGGTCATAGCTGGACACTTGCGAGACGTCAGCTTCGAATACCAGCTTGACGAAGGTTGCAGTCGACTGTAGGAGACGATCAGGTCGCAAACATTTAATGAGCGCAATCTTTCGGATCGCCTCGACAGCAGCTGGAGAGCGAGGTCAATGTAGGCCGCGAAATGGCAACTAGCGAATGCTACGTACGAGTACTTGGCTCCCAAGGATATGGAACAGCGAGTTCGGGCGTGTCGGACTCCAAGAATGACATCCATTGATCCTCGTTCTCGATGATGTGCTGGAGGACAGGTTTGAACACGGGGTGTTTAGCAAAGTTCTCCAGTCGCTGCATTTGCTCCAGGGAAAGGATAGCGATCTGTTTTTCTCCGGACGCTCCAGGTACCAGAGCGCCGTCACCACTATCGAGCAAGAACTCCAGGTCGTCGGAGATTTCCTCAACGCCTCGCAACTTCACCTGAGCAAGAAGAACGGCAAGCATCACATGGTCACGATGAAGCAAGGCTCGCGAAGTCCTCTTGTACACAGTGAGAAACAGGTCTTTGAGCAAAATTTCTCTTCGCTGGTGGTGATCTGAGACACTCATGAGGTTCGGGTTGTGGTGGAGGACGTAATCGAAGATGTCGAGGAAGAAGCGCAGCGAGAACTGGTAGAAATGGTTGACTAGATTGAGCTGTTCCAGGATGAAGAAGACCGCACTACAAGCTTGTGCAATCGGGAGATACTCAGTCGTCACTTGCTCAACTTCCTTCATGACGACGTCTGTCTCTTCAACCTTGCGCGTAATCTCGGCAGCTTCTCTCTTTAGAGTCTCGAGTGTGTCGATGACCTTGTCGTCGTCGAGAATGTTGCCCGAGGACTCGTTCAGGGCCTGCAGCAAGAGCTTCTCCAGTGTACGAAGACGGAGCCTGAATTCGCCTTGCATCTTCATTAGATCGGTACGCTTGCGCTCAGTGTCTGGACGCTCTACTTTGAGCACTTGGTCAAGAGACTGGCTCTGCAGACTGCTCCTCGTCATCGTGAAGTTGACGAACGTCACTCGACTGCAGATGTCCGGAGAGAATTCGACAGACGGATCCCGAGTGGAAAGGAACATGGTGAAGGATGGCGAGAAATCGATATCCTGGTTACCCAAGCGGATAAGAACACGACCACCCGTCCTGCGAATCTCTCTGTTGAGAACTGGGTTGAGAATTGGATCTAGATGCTCGACATCTTGAATGAGCAGAGTGTTACCGAAACGCAGGGCGCTCTCCAGGACCTTGAGGAAGGCTTCGTCAAGGAAGCTAGTGACGGTGATCTTGCGGTCCCTGTATTCGTTGAGCAAGAAGCCTGTCGCCTGGCCAGTAGGGTCGATGATAAGGGGGTAACGGCTGAACCTCTTGATCATAATGGCATTTTCGATGCAGAGGTTATCAGATGGAAGAGATTTGGACTGCCAGCTGAGGCGATCATCCGCCGTCGACAAGTACTCCGGAAGGGACAGCTCACTCTTGAACTTGATGTTTGCGTCGGCGAGGTGAGTGGACCATGCCTGCCACATCATCTCACGATATTGCTGGTCGAAGAACCCGGCATATGCCAAGAAGGCGGCCGACAGGAGGACATCGCCGACGATGGTGCTCATCTCGGTGTCGAACGTACGACTTCCAAGTTCCCAACGTGACTTCTCGGACGACAAACTCTCAAGGAGCTTCATGCTGCGATCAACCTTGCTCTGAACGCGCTCCATCTCGGCTTGAATGGCTTGCGTCTCGCGAATCAAAGCAGCATACTCTTCCTTGTACCTTTCAATACTGGCCTCGAGCTCGGAAATCATCTTGATGATCATCTGTGCTTGCTCCTTGGTCTGCTCGGCCCGGTCTTCGAGCGACTGAACTTCGTTACGCAAGGGCTCGACCTTGTCGAGAATCTCGGAGAAGCGAACTTGAGCGATCGCCCACTTGACCAAGGGACCACAAGCCTTGGATGCACGGTTGACGGTCTCGAAGTTGAAAGACGGTCTGCTGAGGAACTCTTTCTTCATGAGCTCGCGCAGTTGTCTGGTCATCTGGTTCTGCGTATCGAAATTGACAATGCGTTGAATGAAGTCGTCACGACGGATGATACCTTGGACCGTTCGCCAGCTATCGATCTTGTGCCCTAGGAGGGTGCATACGGATTCCATCGCTAGCTTGACTGCTTCGGGAGGGTTTGCCATGGTACGGACTTCCTGCAAGTGCTGTCGCTTGATGTTGCTGACAGCAGATTGGGCTTCGAGCACAGCTGGTTCAGCGTCCGCCAAATCTGCCATAACGACGGCACGACGCTGCTCAATGTTACGATCCTGTTCCACGAGCGCAGCCTGAATCTCGATCGAGGCAGCCTTCTTCTGCTCCGCTTCCTGCTGGTCTGCCACCATACGTTTCAGTTTATCGTTAGCTTCGGTGTTCTTGGCCTCCAGTTGAGACCGTTTGATTGCGAGACTCTTTCGCAGCTCTTCGACTTGCGTAACCGTATCTCTGAGCTTGTCCAGACCAACGTGCAAGTGGCGCTGCTGTTCTTCGAGTTCGTCGCGTTTCTCGTTATACAGCCGAACGTAGTGGTTGATGCTGTGACCAGGAAGATGAGTTTAGTAAATCGATGCGACAAGTAAAGCCTCACAAGTCGAGATAATGCCGCGGAGTAACATAGTTGTATCGACCCTGACGGCGGCTCAGACGTTGGTTGATCTGGTGCAAGGACTGATGCACATAGACCAGAGCATTGACGACGGCCGTACGATGAACAGGTGGCATAGAAAGCTCACGGTACGCGATAGGGAAGTGAGCCGGGGGACTGTATGAAGAAAGATCCAAGTCGAGGATGTGCGTGAACTCCATACCGACCTGATAGAACGCCTGATCAGACCAATCACCAAACCAGTCGAGGACACAACGGTTGAACAGGGCGGGGGAAGTTGCAGCTCGGGAAGCTAAACCGTTCTCGGGAGGATTCATCGTGAAGACGACATGTAAGTTCTTGGCGACCTGCTGAGTGAACCAGCGGTACAGTTCCTCGTGCGAGTCCAGCATAAGACCATCACGCTGCGAACCTTCCTTGCAAGCTGTCATGAGTGCGGCGTGTTCATCTCCCTCGAACAGACCGGGGACTTCGGCATTGGCTAAGAGGGTGTTCATGCGTTCCAGGAAGCCAGAGTCAAGAACGTTCGACTCGTCCATGATGAAGCAAACCTTCTCGCTCTTGCAGCCGGCGCGACGAAGGACTGTTCGAAGATCCTCGTCAAAGTCGTCTCCAGTGTATTTATTTGACACCTTGATCTGGAAGATGCTCAAGCCGTTCATCCAAGCGACGAAGCGAGATAGCGTAGTCTGCAAGACACAGCAGTCAGCAAATGCAACCGTGACTAACAGAGGCAGATCCTTACTTTACCGCTACCACTAACACCAATTAACAGAAGATGTCCCTGCACCTGGCGGAAGACGCGGTCGATACGCAAGACATGGTCGAGCACGTCGTTAAACAGGACGAGTGGGACGTCAAGCTCTTCCTCATAGAACACTTTGAGCCGAGCCTTTGTGTACTCTCGCAAGACTTCGCGATCGACAGAGATATAGTTCTTCGACGTCCAGTTGGAGAACAGGACGGGGCGAGCGAGAGCTTCGTCCCTGTTGATGGTCGGGAAGTGCTCCATAGCGGCAGAGTCAATGTGCTCATCGGTCCACTGCTTCTCTTCTTCGGTGACGAGACGATCCTGGAACAGACGCAACGCTTCGTGTGCCCAGACCCGTACCAGACCTTCAACGGAGAGTATTTCGAGGGGGCGAATTGCTTCATATATACCTCGAACCCATCGAGTCAGTTCGCGAGGACTGTAGACATAGTGCGCCTGGATATCGGTGGTGAAGCGTTTCTGCGATGCAAGGTAGAGATCGACCATGGCATCCGTGAGGGGACTAGCGTACGCTCGGAGGTTCGGCACGACCTTCAGGAGTGCGCGGTTGTACGTGCCGTAGATCTGTTTCAACGACAGCTCTCCAGGATAATCGACCATTACCAGCGGAGCGTGCCGCAAAAACCTGTGGCTCAAAGGCACACGACCAGGGTCTGTTGGCGGGTTGCAAGCTCCAACGAACTGGATACGCTCTAGTTTGACCCAGGCCATGTCGGAGGTGCGCCAGTATCCCCCAGACTCAACGAGCTGGCGAATGAAGGAGATTACACGCTGCGTTCCGTACTTGTCGGTGGCAGGCAGGTTAATCTCATCGCAGAATACGACGAGCCAGCGACCGATCTGGGCGGGGGCCAGAATAACGCCGTTTGGTGTCTTGCGATACTCGCAGTATTGCTCGAACGTTTTGAGGATCAATTCTGGCGTAGTAGCACTCGAGAAGTTGAGACCGACGACTTCCATGTCAGGGAGTTTACGGAGGGCACTAAAGAGTGTCATAGTCTTGCCCGAACCAGGGGGACCACAGAGCATGAGAGGCTTGTGTTCAGACAACCAAGAGTAGAGCACTTCCTCATGGCGTACAGTGTCGACGGTCGGGACGACGATGTCAGATGCGGTGACTGCTTGTGGTTCGATTTCAATCTGCGGCACACGAGTTTGCCAAGCCAACCATTCTCCGTTGTTGATCTGCACGTCATAGTCCAACAGAGAACCACCTTGCGCAAGCGGAGGAAGGTCGATACCAGTCTGCTTTCGAAGGAACTCGCCCATTTCAGCACGTAGGTCGAGCTTCGCATCTCCAGAGAACGCCCAGATGATGTTGATCAGTAGCCGCTTCGTGACGTAGTTCTCAACACGTTCAGCGCTGAGCGGGAAGTCGGAGTGCTGCAAGTTGTACTCGATGACGTTACGGACGGTCTTGTTGACAAGTGAGAAAAGAGTGTTGAGCGCCCGAGTCTCGGTAAAGTCCATGATGTGCTCGATGCCTTCAGCGTACTTGAGGGCGTTATGGACGAGATCATCTTCAGCGAAGAATGGCTCGAGGACAGCAGCAATCTGCTTCTGAGTGGCTAGGTTTGCGAACTGTGCATCTTCGCCATCGACCCGGCGGCCGGGAATATCTAAGGCGTCCTCGTCCTCGGCATCGAGCGGAACGAATGCAAGCGTGTCGAGATAGTTGCGGCAGACCATAGACGGCTCAACAACGTCCTCACTGAACCAGATCATACCGCAGCGGCTGACGGTAGCGAGGGTAGCATACTTGAGATGTTCAACCTCGAACATGATGCGAACGTTTGGAGGAAGATTGAGACGTTCTCCGTTCGGCAGCGTGAGCAGCTTATTATCATCGAGCACACTATTATCGCACGGTCAGTCTTCGCAATAATAGATATGCCTTCCGCACTTACGAGTTCAAGTTCTCAACCCACTCAGGGTCCACATCGCCGTCGAAGATGATCCAATGCCTCTTGCTACTCTCACCACGAACGTCATCAACGATCTTACGGAGCGTGTGCGTGAAGAGGCCATCGTTCCACTCGCGAGTCGTGGGATCAAGAGTACCATAGAGCGCATCCTTGTGCATGGCCTTCGGATCAATGACGTAGGAGACACCTTCAACACCGTCTAGCCTTTCGAGTGCTGCCAGGAGGACCTGCCAGGCGTTGGTCTTGCCGCTTCCAGAGGAGCCGACCATCATGAGACCATGCTGGATCTTCTGAATCTGATAGAGCTGGAGAATCTTCGAGATCCAGCGCTCGCCCTGAACGAGCCTCTTCTCCACGCAGACCTTGCTGATCTGCTCGCGAAGCGCATCCAAGTTGACTGGAACATAGTCGACACCGGGGAACACATCGGCGAGCAAGCTCGTGAGAAGAGGAACATCGTCCGCCACCAGCTTGGGAACAATGGTCTCGGTGACACTCTGGATGAGGATAACTTGTTCAGAGGCGCTGTCAGAAAGCCCCTCCGTGTCACCCTCCTCGCGAGCCGTCTGGAGACGTTCACGCTTCAAGATACCAGCACTCGCCAAGACGGCCTTCAGCGCACGCAGACCGAAGTCATAATGAGGCTGAGGCGATAGTTGCTCGTCGCAAAGGTTGAAGAAAGGAACGATCTTCGAGGCGAGAGACTCAGCCGTACGGAAACCTTGCGAGAACAGCATGACTTGAGCGATGAGCTCGCGATCCGGACGGGTCATGGCCATTCTGTTCTAAAGTCAGTCAAACGCACAAAGCAATCGGAGGAGATACGTACGGCCTGAACAACTTGGTCAGATTTGGTGGCAGAGTTGAACGACCGGCATAGTTCGGGTTAGTGGTGATGAAGATACCTAGTGAACGGTGAATACTTTGCCGTACGGAATGCTTGAACAGACTTGCCCATGTTGCCGTTAATCTTTACGTTCTTACCAACAAGCTCGATCTCCGTATTCGGATTCTTTGCCACAGCTGCAAGACCTTGCTGGATGCTTTGAACTTGCTGCGAGACAGCAGACAAGATGCGCTCTTCGAGGCGATTGAATTCATCGAAACAGCCCCAAGCACCGACTTGACACAGGCCAACGAAGATACGGCCCATGGCCTGGAAGTCGAAGGTCTCGTCACAGCAGAAGACAAGCACGAACCGGCCAAGTTGTACACCAAGTGCCTTGACGGATTCGGTCTTGCCGGTGCCTGCAGGACCGAAAGGGGAGCCGCCGAGCTGGCTGTCGAGAGCTTGGGTCAGGGTCAAGTAACACCTATCCGTAAGTGGTGTCTGGACGAGGCGGTCGGGAACACCAAGATACTCCCAGCCATATGGGAAGGTGGCGTCAGCGACCCGAATAGCGAGCCTTTCTAACGGGTTCTCAACATTGAGGTCCAGGTAGAAGCGCATCTGATACAGCCAAGAGAATGCTCGATTGTCGATGACCTTTTGTTGAATGAGAGCGCGAGTAACGTCTCGCTGATGGACAAGTTCGGTAATGAGGTGTTCACACTTCCGACGAGTAACCGGTGCAAGCTCTGAAAGGACAACATCGGCCAAAAGGTCCAAGCCTTGACGAATGGTCTCGAGAGGACCGTCGAGAGGTTCGCCCTTCTGCAGAGCGTTCTCAATGGAGGCAGTCCATGCAACCTGGATAGCAAGAGTGACGAGCTGGGCGGGAAATTTCTCGACCCATGCGATGAATTGGTCCTGTGGAAGTGAATCTCCGGCGCCGTAAAAAGCCTGCAGCTCAGCAACTGCGTCGCAAAGCAGCTGCGCGAGAGAAACGCGCATCTCAGCCTCGAGCTTGCTGAGCCAGTCATTGATCTTCGGGTAATCCTTCAGCAAGATGGGATCCTTGAACATGACCTCTTCGCCTTCTCGTGAGGCCATACCACGGATCATGGTTAGCTCGTCATCCAGATTGATGGTCGAGATACCCGCAAACATCTTCTTGAGATGCTTCACGATGCGAAGGATCTCCTTCGAGTTACCGATAATCTCGAGCAAGTCTTCATCACCGACGAAATAGAAGCGAGGGAAGGAAGCACGCTCCCGCTCAAGGTACTCTCCCAAAGCCTTCTGAATCTTGTTGAGTAGATCAGCGAGACGCTCGAGACTCTTCTGGATGCCCGGAATATTCATGACGTCCACAACGAAAGGCGATTTGTACACCTTCTTCATGACCGCCAAGAATTCAGTGTTGATGTTGTTGAAACGGGCGCTCTCCACCGGAAGGAGATGTTTGATGTCGGCACTGCCAGAGAAGATACCCTCAAGGTATACCCACTGTCGTTGTACATCTATCCAGACGTCGAACAAAACATGGATTCGATTGAGCTTCTCTTCCCATGCACCTGCCTGAAAAATGCTGTAAGGCATAGATCAAGTGCACTCCACTCTGTCTGATACTTACCTCCTCATCGAAGACTGAAAAAAGAACGACAGTATCAGTACTGGCTCAGAGTGTAACCAAGGAATTTGTATACCCTTATAGTATGGCGACAACTTCATCGCCATGAGAGAGTTGAGGTTCTCGCTACACTTGTTGAATAGATCGTCCCACCCGCGGATGAGACGACACTTGTTCTGATAGTTGACGAGATCCAAGGTATAGTTCGTCCAAGTTTCTTTAACTTGCTTGATGTATTCCTCCAACGCCATCTACATGCGACTGGTAAATTTCAATTGGGTGGCGATTCGCAGACACATACCTCTCCTTGAGCTTGAATAATGACTTCCTTGATGATGGCCTCGTTCTTCTTCAGATCCATGTCGTATACGTGCCCAAGAGTCATCCTACGCACAATCAATACAGATTATCTTTCCACAACGTATGTCCACTTACAGCGTTAAGCTGACCTGAGTCGGCGCCTTAAGAACCTTAAAGAGTTGCTTCCAGTGCCTGTCCTTCAGTGCCTCGGATTTGAGGTCAGATATCAACGCGTTCGATTTCAGGAGTCCTCGGAGGACTTCCTGGACGTATTCGAATGCGGAATACTGGCGCATTCGAGTCGGCATTTCCTTGGTCGACGACAATAAGCCGTCAAGTTGCTGCCTTAGCTTCCGTGGTTGCACAGTCGCCCAAGACATCTCGCGAAGCTCTCCAAGCTGACTCCAGATTCCAGACAGCGCGGTCCACACGCTTTTCAGGTCGCGGAGTTCTTCGAAGATGGGTTCCAGACGTGTGTGGCGTATCAGTTCAAGGTCAAGTGCCTCCTTTGCTCTGCAGACAAGGTCGTATTCTTCTTGCACGCGATTCAAGCGTCCCTCGAAGACATTGATAGTGTTGAGCGCAGTGTCGGCGCGAATACTTCCTTGCACTGGTCGGGTCTGCTCCCATTCGGCGATAATGTCGCTGATCTTGTTCTCTATAATCTTGTCCTCCGCAACAATCTTGAGTTGCAAGCCCGCTGCCATATGTGTTCAATCCAAGAGTTCGTGAAGCCTGAAGTAACAACTCACCAAGCTGCTCCTGGATAGAGTCATTCTTTCTTTTCAAGATCTCGTTGTACGCGCTCCACTCTCCTCTAAGCTGGTCGCTGTACAGCCAGTCGTCTGAAAACTGGTATCGAAAGCGTTCTAGTGTCTTCTCGCCGCTGGCGCAGAGTTCTATCATCGGACCCCATGTCTTGGTCTTCCGCTTCAGATCCTGAACAAATGTAATGAATTGGACTGCCGCCGCAGTCGACGAATTGGAGGGAGCCAAGACCTGCAAGCGCGATATTTATTCATTAGATGCGTTGAATTTCCGAGGAAAACTGGGGCATACCTCCATCGACATGGTGGAAGTGAACAGGCTTGCGCGCGTCGCGTCGCCAACGTTGCCAGATGCTGCTGCCTCGGTCGATGCCGAAGTTCTGAACCGAGCGTCTCACTGCTTGCAGCCAACCACGACTCGCTTTCACCTGCCTCTGTGGTCCCCTCTACGCATTTACTCCTCGCCTTCTTACACTCCTCAAAAAAATGTCGGGCCGCCAGCAGCGTGTGATGGTTCAGCCCATCGTATGTGACAGGTGGTTCTGCTCGTACGGCGATTTACTGACCAAAGACTTCGTATTGTAGAATGTCATCTTCAAGAACTTGCAGCAGGTGCGCACGAGACAGCCTGCGGACGTCGATCACACTGACTGACAAGTCTGTTCATTTTGTAGAGGACAAAAGTCGTGATCTGGCTGTACGACAACATCGAGATGCGCATTGAGGGGCGAATTATTGTGCGTGTTCTCCATCCCATTTGAGCCCACTTGGCGTTGAGCTTCGTGTTCATCGAAAGGCGTCGTGATACTGGCACTGGCATGCTTCCACCATCTATTTGGCTTTTGGCGATACTTCACTCCTAGCTTTCACTTTGTCTGCTCTAGTTGCCTATCCGACGCGTTCGCTGACCACCGACTTCTAGGGATTTGACGAGTTCATGAATGTTGTGGTGGATGAGGCTGCTGAAGTGTACGTCAAAGACGCGAAACCACGACGAGAGCTTGGTGAGTGGCATGAGACTCGCTTTTGGTGTCCTGTCTGACGCGATGTCCTAGGTCGTATACTACTCAAGGGCGATAACATCACCCTGATACAACAAATTGTATAACGTGTTTGTGGACCGCCTGGTGCAAAATGCGCACGGCGCATCTTCCTGTATCTCGCATTCATATGCTTCTGACATAACCAGATGATATACATGGCTTCCGACTATGTAAGCTATGAGCATGTGGATTATAGGTTGTATATGGGCAAGAGCTTGGTTATGCTGAGAGACTGGCGACATAGAGGGCACTCCGCCTAGCCAAAAGTCATCAACCCTCGGACCAGTGACATGCTTGGAAGTGGTTCACCTTTTCTCGACCCCAACCCACGATACAAGACCAGCAGAACAGATGTCCGCATTCTGTTGCACAGCTTGAAGTTCGCTCTTCCAGGCAAAGAGTGCAATTTCGGCTGGCCCGCAATGCTGAGGGTATACTTGCGATATCCAGCGCTGTCCGTTCATCTTCTTCTGCTGGGATAACCGGCTGGTCGTCGAGATTGTGCGGTCCTAACATGGTGGAGACAGGAGCGTCGTCGATGTACGTCTCGTGAGAGTCGTCTGCGTGGCGTTTCCCTTCAGCTGACTTCGGACCATCTTCTGCTCGAAGAGAACGCATAAAAGTTGTAAGCCGGTACAGCAGTCGGATACCCAAAAGAACGCCAAGTAGAGAGTATGATGGAGGTCTTGTGTTCGGGCTGGGAAAGGTGCCTGAAATCTATGTAGCCAATGAGATGGTTAAAGAGTATCAACTGAACTGTGACTCACATATCGCGCTCGAAAGAATCTCCTCGTCAAATGATAATATGCTCCCTGCAGGTAGAATGCTGCCAGATTGATCTCCGAGAGAACTTCGAGAACATGCGGTGTTCTTCGCAGCAACAAGCTCAGTTTCGAGTCTTGCGAAAGCGCAGAGCCCCATTTGGCCGCGATGTAGCTTGGCAGCGTTGGAAGTAAAACCAATGCCAAGCGAAGGTTACGAGACGGCGGAGCATCGGTTCGGAGAGAGTGCAGCCATATGCCCGTGTATTCCTCGCCTAATGTCTGTGTAGCTGCGACTAACGTGAGTAAGTGTCCGAGAAATGCTTACACATAACATACTTCGACCAATAGTCAAGCCATAATATAGGAGCTTTACAAAAAGACTAATCTCTTTATCCCAGCGTGAGAGCCATCGTGTGCCTAAGTGCATTCAGAGAAGCTAAGACATCGAAGGAGAGTGTGGAACTCACCAAACCAAGCTCTCAACACGCTCTCGGTCTGTTCGCGGAGGGATGAGAGATGGAATATATCCCGCTGATTTGAACGTACTGTGCAGAATCGTTATAGCACACTAGATAGGTACAGCGTTCTGAGCAGCGACACACTGATTTGTGCTTGCTGAGCATACGGGAATGAAGGCAACGACATGATGGCGGCGGGCAAAGCAGCGTTCCGACGCAGACGCCCATTTTGTCACTTAACCCTCACCGGTTCACAGCAGTTCATCCCCTTCTCCTCTCCTCTACAGGACAATTTTATTCTTCTTGTGTTTGCGTGCGACACTCCACAGCCATGCCGCCAATGCCTCAACACGCTCAGCCTCAGGGCCTGAGTGTATGGCAGAAGAGTAAGTACCAACTTCTTCCGTCTGGAGACTGAGCCAGACATGAACTCTTTCGCGCAGTGAAGTAAGTCTGCCGTGACTTGCAGGGTAGGATCTCTGACTCACCACACCAAATTAAGGATGGGAGCCATGATGGGCACAGGTGTTGGGCTGACCATTGGCTTCATCTTTGGTTCTTATAGCATCTTAAGGTGCGCACACCGGCTCCTCACAAATTCGCACCGTGCTCACCTCTGTGTGCAGAGGAGGTGCTGGCCCGCGGGGCGTCCTTTCAACGCTTTCTCAATATATGCTTGGCAGTGCGGCAACGTTTGGTTTTTTCCTTTCTATTGGCTCCGTGAGTGCAATCCTGTCCTCTCGTCTCCGGGCTCGTGAAGAATAATCTGATCTGGATCCTTCATAGGTCATCCGTAATGATGCGCCCGCACACTGGGAGGCTGCTCGCCTACAAATGCTTCCACCAATGATGCAGTCGCGCAATCAAGGCCTCGCGATCATGAAGGCACGCTGGGAGCAAGAGAAGGCGAAGCACAGCTCATAATCAACCTGCCAGCACTTCCAGCTCGCATAAGCGCGCGTATAATAACTGCTGCACCTCAAAACTCGATAGTTCTTCTGGCATTCGTCATAGAACATTTCATCTAGTTGTGATGACGCTAGATGTAAACTCGATGTTTCATTGCGTTTTAACGACATACGGTATAAACCTTGCCTACTTTCTAGGTCCGAGATGGGTGCAACACTGGAAGCGCAAGTAGCACTAGTAGCTTCGGTACCAACATCTACTCTAAACGACATTTCAAACACAAAATGCCATTATACACGGCTAGTATCAACATATTACTATGATAGGAAGTGTACTGGACAATCTCGTATCAGACAGGTTTGCTCAACGTGCAGCTGGCTGAGAGGGCTGGTATCCCGCGTAATACCCAGAATATGTACTCGTCGCGGAAGCCGGCTGCGGCGTCCCTGGTGAACTTGCCGCAGGAATTGCGGTGCGCAGATGGGACGGAAGAGGCGCGACATACGCGGTTCCAGAACCAGTAGACCATCCGCTTGCCTGGTACGGTTTTCCCGTGAGCACTGTATTAGCAACTGCACGCTGAGGTTGAGGCTGCTGCGTGTTTGCGAAGAAGCTCGCATACGATGAGGGGACGGTTGCGGTCGGTGTAGCAGGGGTCGCCTGCCCAGATGGTGTCGTGCTGCCTTGGGGCGGTTGGTAGTTGTACCACGATGAGTACGGATATGCCTGCGTGCCTGTGGCTGGGAACTGCTGGTTGGGATAGTGCGTCGTTGCGGAAACAGGCGTCCCAGCTTGGTAATTCGGGTAATAGTTATTTTGGGCCGGTGGGTAGCTCCCGTAGCCACCTCGGTATTGTGAGCCAGCGGCAGCATAGGCTGGGTAGGCGAAATTGTACGGCGCAGCAGTGGTCTTCTGGGTGGCTGGAGTGGCGGGCGCGGGTGTTGGTGGAGCGGGCGCAGGAGTAGGAGCTGTTGCTCCTGAACGAACGCGCAAAGTAGTGTCGTCTCGAAGCGCGACTGTGCGACCCTCCGGCAAACTACCAAACCAGCCCTTCGATGTCCCTATGGGCAACGTACGATGTAGGCTTCGCAGTACAGAAACAGTCGGGACGAGAGGAGCGTATTTGGCACCGGAAGATGGCCTTGGTCGGAGGGAAGCAAGCATAGTCAGAGAATCTAGGATACCCTGGGCTATCATAGCAGTGAGAATTACACTAGGTCTCGTAAGAGGTGGAACATTTACCTGCATTCCATTCCTCTGAGCCAATCTCAACCGGCTTCGACCCGCCCTCGTTGAGCAGACGTTCCGCTTGCAGCAGCTCCAGCCTGACAAGAGCACGAGCGTTGCGCTGGAGTAATTCCTCGATAGCTTTCTCAAGTTCCAAGGAACCTAGTGCTTGCTTGATTGACACCACCTCTTCAGACGAAAGAAGGCCTTCCAGCGACGAGTCGGGATTCGCCGGCTTGTCTTCTAACGGCTTCTCGACCTCGACAACCTCGGATATGTCTTCCATCGTAGCGTCTTGCCGCTGTTTGAGCTGCTTACGCTGCATGCGAATCTGGTCCTTGTCTCGCTGTCGGAAGTATACAACCTCACTAAGAGTAGACTGTCCGACCTCGACACCTTCTCCGTCAAAACTTGGAGCAAAACTTGTGTTAGGCCCATAATCGAGGAACTTTCCACAAGACAGTCGTCTTGGCTCTTGCACGGCGTCGTGTACTGGAGGCCGCTTCTTTATATAACTACCTAACGTTGGCTGGTGACCCTCTGCCACTGGCGCAGACGGGAAGATGGAAACAAGTTCGGCATAGCCCGTGCCTAGACTCTTGATGTCCTTGCCCTCAAGGGAAAGAGAGGGGTAGGGGGAGTTAGCAGAAGACCACCAGTCGCCAGTGGGAAGTCGCTGAACAAGGGCATACTTCCACCGACCTTGGGACTTTGATTCGTCGTCATGACCGTCGTCCTTTCCCGAGTGGCCGGTCAAAAGGCTCTCGGCGTTGAGGGGAACAGGAGCAGAGTGGTGGGATGCCTGGCTGAGAAGCGACAGAGCGAGGTTGCAGAATTTCAGCTGCTCAGCGGCAGGTGCAGAAGGTCGAGATCGGGGATGCGAGGATATAGGGAAGAGGTGATGCACCGCAGTCTGCAGCACCAGACTGAGAGTGAGCACAAGGGGCACACGATGACCTACTCACACGTAAGATCTTCAACGGAAACTTGCGAGGTGATTTGAGCAAAGCACGAAACGAGTAAGACTGGGTACCAGCTGAGGAGCCTGCACCTGAGCCTGAGCTGTGCTCAGTTGGCAATGGGAATATTCGGTCCAGCAATCCTTGCGTGTCCACACTGCGAAAGAGAGGATATTAGTTGTCGGCAGTGCGCGAAGTGGAAGGACGCACATTTCGAGGACCTCTAAAATCTTCTCCGCATCTTCATCTTGGATGGGGACGTCCCCACTACTGGGCAACTCAAGCTCTACTACCTCCTCTGTTTGCAGTTCCTGGCCATCCTGCGTGTCTTCTTCCTTAATGTCCTCATCCGTCCGCACAGCCTTTGCTGCAGGAAGGTCGGACTCGTTTGCAGCAGAGGAACGTTTCCGCTTCTTGTTTGCGGACTTGCGACCAGATTGGGGGGTTTCAGCTGGCTTCTCCTTTTCCTGGTTTGCTGTAGAGCGAGTTGCTCGGGCCATGATTTTATCTTCGAGCCGAGTGTTCGCTGTTTTGAAGAGTGTCTACACGCTGGACGCGTCTTTGGCGGCAAATGTAAGTGCCCAACGCGTTCGCGACTGGAATTACTCGAAAAATCCGAGCCGTGGAGGGAGCGTGAGGGAAAGGTTGGGCGTTCTCGCCAGTCTTACTGTCTACTTACTCATTCAGGCTCCGAATGTTATCTTTCTTACTTTTTATCAGTTGTGTTTTAAAGCTACTTCCGAGCTAGTGCTTATTTGGGCTACTTCCCGTTCTTACTCGCTCATCAAACCACTGCTTTAAGGGAACTGATTCCTGCGTTGGGTCTCTCCGCTCCGTTCACTATGCCTCCAGCCACTACGCTGCGTCCCTTGTTACGAGCACAGCTTACATCGCGGCCAGCGAACGGACATTTAGCGTTCATCCCTCAAATTCGCAAGCTTGTGTTCGAATACTGCGACAAATGGCCATCGTCCGCTAATACTCGGACGTTCATCCGGAACCACTTGGAGAACCTCGCACGCGCAAACCCTCATGTCGAGATTGTTGTAAGACAGAGGACTCACAAGGAACCCATTATTCGAGGCTTCTACTGTGTGTTACACTACTTGTGATCTCCTCCGATGCTGACAGCGCATATACAGTGAATGATCGCGAGAAAGTCATTCCGTTGAACGGCTTTGAGGTCACTGGTGTGGCACAAAAAGCCCAGCTTTTGCTAGACAGCTCTGGTGCAAAAATTAAGCCTCTCAAGAGGAGAACCATTGAAAGTACAACCGAAGCGGCGAGGGGTATCTGGTCTGGTCTTCATGTGGAGGAGCCCTTCAAGATCTGAGCTGGAGTTGTCGCTGAGCGTTGCATACCCTGGATGTACTGTAATTTACCTGTGGTACGTGTGACTGTCTACGACTACATGAGCCTGTCTCACAAAATGCTCGCGTGTCGCAAGCATAATATCTCATTCAGTGCATCTCTCACGTTCGCTATCAAAGTGTTCACTTCGCTCGCCCATGCGCTTCCGTTATTCCTCCCGTATTTCTGTAACATAAGACCGTACTAAGTGCAGCAAGACGGTCTTTACTCGGTGCACGGCTGCTATTGATTCCCAGAGTCCCTGCATTCCCGGATAGCGCTCTCGTAACCGACCGCCTCGTGGTCGCCCTGAAACACGCGTTATACACGCTCTGTTTAAGTGACAGCTCATTATGCACCCATGCACTCATCTTTGTCCTCTCCCTCAGCTCGTCGCTCAGAACGTGCGTTCCACACTTCCGGTGTCAGCGTTTGAAAAGTTGACAGCTGGACTTTCACCGTTCGCTCTCCCCGTGAACCGCACTTTCCTGCACAGGCAGACGTCCTCAATCGAGCGCTCACCGTCGGACGATGCAGGGAACAAGTCACTACTCGGCGGCTTGCGCGGGGGATAAAGATATGGCTGAGTGGATACGATCGGGCAGAGGGGCGAAGGTCTGTTACTGCTATCTATTATGAACTTATCTTCGTCTGCTCACCGTATCTTAGCAGTCGTCTGCCACTGTTTCCACATTGTGTACCTACTCGCAGGATGATGAGGTCAGTCCTCGAAGGCCTCATTCGTTTAGCATTTCTAAAGCAGGAACAGAATGTTGGTTTACCGATCCTTGATATACCCCTCGCTGACTTGGTCATATCGTCCTCCGATTGGGTATGTCCCGAACATCTCCGTGCTATAGCCGAACATTGTTCATTCAAAATTCTCTTCCTTTGTCCGCCCCAGGCCTCGTCAACAACCCGCGGCGACCCATTCGGATCTCAATGCTTCTTGCTGGATGTACCAGAGATCTCTTCCACCACTGCCTCATCAACAACGAGCACCACGGACTTCGAAGACAACGACGACGGCTCGTGGCCAGGCCCCATGCAGCGAACACCTTCGAACTCATCACCAGAGCCTTCCGACGCGGTCGCCACGGAAATCCTGACTCACACTCGGCACCGTTCAACATCGATATCCTCTACAGTCTCACGACCCGCACCTGCCCGCTCTATTCTTTCGACCGGTTCATCTATGCGAACTAAGCGAGCTCGCGCACCACCGTCGGTCAAGTTCCTTGACATGCCGACGATACACTTCGAGGACGAAGACGAAGACGCCTCGCCTAATGTACCGAGTCCGAGCTCTACTGCTCTTACAAAGAGCCGGGTGTTCGGGTTCTTTGGCTGGCTGGCGACTGTGGGTAAGGGCAAGAAGATGGAGTCCCTTGTGCCTGAGCGGCCACCCATCTCGGGCCCGTTCCCACTGTGGGAGAAGCCACTGCGTCGGAACGACAACGCATGCCGGTCTGCGGGTGCGGCCGACACACGGAGCATACGTTCGGTACGGTCGCAGAGCAGTATACGCAGCGCAATGTCGTTTAGGTCAATTCGTTCGTGTGCGAGTCGTGTGCAGGGCTATTGGAGTCGGCTAAATGGACGAGACCCATAGTCGTCGTGCGTTCTGGGGTATATTAGGACAATTTTAGTTCAAACCATGGACTTTTACTCTAGGTACAGTATATCGTTTCGTAGTGTGTAAAGGCGGGAGAACAGTGTAAAGTCATGTAGGAAGCCGTCTAGACCCTCTGAGTGTCTGAGAATAATTGAGATGGTTGACAAGTGGTCTCCATGCAATCTCACACGATTTATAGCCCCCGCGGCGTCGAAGCACAGGAGGAAGGCCAGGGGGGTTTCCGCCCTGTCTGTCGCCAGACAGATCCGCGTACCGTCAGAACGGCGGTAGCAATGATCATGACGGTGGAGACAGAGACAAAGTCGTGTGAGCGGTCTCGAGAGTAGGCTCTGTGCTTTTGAAGCCTTTCGGGTGACGCGAGTGATTAATGACATCATGAGAACTTGGATTCTCTCGTGAAGTCTCTGTGCAGTACATGCTTCTCGGACGTGGACGTGCCGCTAGGACGAGTACCAAGCTACCCTTTGTGCACAACCGAATCGACATCTAAACTTTCAGCCATGTACGTAGCAACAGATGCGTTCTACTTGATCATGCTGTCTGAGACACGGCTTTCCATCTGCAATTCGCCTTTTGCGAGTTTGTCCCTGAGCTTCTTCCCAACTGCGTGAATCTGCGGCAAGTTCTCGTCCATCCAGTCCCTCCGGGGAGAGAACTCCCAAATCTCCATCGTCGCCGGCAGCTGCTCCTCGATGCGCTCAAGGACGTCAAGGACAGAACGCACCGGGGCGTGGCTCAGTAGAAGGAACTTGAAGGCGAGTGCGAGATGATCTGGACAACAAGCCCGAAGTATGAATCAGATATATACAAAGGACGTAAGCAGCACAGGCTGCACGCACGAATGTAGTATTCATCGTCGATAGCGTATTCTTCCGCTGCTTGCTCGTAGCCCTGAGCAGCCTTGGAATAACGCATCTGACGCGTGCTCTCGTCTGGAGCCTGGTCAATCTTATTAACATGATAAGCGGCGAGCACTCTGTCCCACGGCAGCACTATCAGGAGACTGATCTGTATAGGCAAGTAAACTATACGCACGCTCGAGCTTGCGCTTTCGGATAGACATAAAATGACAACCAGTATCCGGGATCTGCCATGTCCGGCTCAGCTGCGTTGGCAGCGGCATTCGCTAGCGCTACGGCAGCTGGACGCAAACCTTCCAATAGCGCAGCGCTCTCGGGAGTGCCTTTCGCCACCTCGTACCTCTGGACGGGACCAACGTGTGCTCAACGCAGCCGCAGTGATATGTAGACAGGATCACTCACGGCAATACAGGCATCGAGTCTCAAAGACTTCACTCCAACGAAGAATGTGTCCTCGAATATGTCTCCACGGACCGCCTTAGGCACGTCTTTCCAGGTCCTGCGGCCCCATTCGAGCACCTCGATGACGGAGTCAAAGTACTTGACGGCAACGACGGGATTCAAAGTTGGTCCACTCTCATGAAAGCCTTCCAAGATCCAGCACCTGCATTGTCGCATGAGCAAGAACTGATGTATATAAGCGGCAGCATACCGGACGACTGTGCTCAACATCGGACGCAGAACATCCCATCCCTTCTTTGCCTTTATCTTGAGAGCTTCGGCCATCAAGTACTGCGCCCCACTGGCGACCAAGTGCTCTGCATCGTATCGCGTAAGCTCTAGTTGGGCTGAAGGGCTTCAAGATGAGAATAAGTTAGCAGTCGACGATAAGTCGAAAAAACCTTGTAAGTGCCAGTTCGTATCCCAATTTTCAGCATCGTCGACATGGAACACGCGACGATCGCGCAGGATGCCGTTCGTCACATGTGATATACCCCACATCAATCAGAATATGAGGCCTATCGAGACATAAAGAGGGGACGCTTACATTGTTTGATCCTACAATTCTTTCTCCGTCGGCTGTCGGCACCGAGCGGACAAGCTTGATGATGTCCATACCCTTCTTGAATTCCTCGTACGCTTTCAGCAAGATCCAGCCCTGGACATCGCGTCTACAATCAGACCTACTCTTCTCCGTTCTCTACGCAAATGCGACTCACGCTACTCTTGAAATGTTCGGGTCCCTTTTCCATGAGCTCGTCACGCATGTTCCAAGCCCTCTTCCAGGGGGCCTCACCCTTTGTGTCAGGCAAGGACACACCGATATGAGGCCTAGCTGATAACTTTTTTCTGGCCTCCTTGAGTTCGTTCAAGCATTGACGTTTGATTCCTCGCTGTGCATCTGTGAGCGAGGCGTCATTGGACGGAAGGGACTTGAGTGCATTTTCGTAGGCAGTGATACTCAATTCGCAATGTCCAACATGCTAAGGCTGGGTGAGGATGAAGGATGAGACGCAGTCGGCGACAGCTTACTTTGAGTGAAGCGCCGAGGCGCACCCACGCCTTAGTATAGTTAGGATCGAGACGCGTAGCCTGCGTTATTAGACAATGTCAGCTAACATGCTTGGCGTACATCGTATCTAACGTACCGCATCGCAATCACGAGCAGCATCCGCATATCTGCAGCAGTGATGAGACTTTCAACACTCCCTAAGGCGTATCACTTACTTCTTCATCGCGAAAGAGCACGCCCCGCGATTCGCGAAAATAACAGCGTTCCGGTTGTCTACTTCCATAGCCTCGGAGTACTTCTTGTAAGCTGCATCATAATCTTTCGCAGCAAACAGTTTATTGCCCTCTTCCTTCAGTTGAGCAGCCGCTGCAGCGGCAGATGGGGAGTCTGTGGACGTCGACTCAGCCATGAACCTCACAGTCAAAGCTTGGGAAGAAGAGAGCTCACCTCACGCATTGTTCGCCCGGATATGGTTGGACATGCTTGGATCTTCCGTATGGCGCCCGAAGAAACGTGACTGCCACGCGAAGGGCCCGTAGATAGCTGAAGATTTGCCAGTCTAAGCCACACGGTGTTCAATTGGTACAAGTGCATTCCCTCGATGAATATTCCAAGAAAATGAAGCATTAGCACATTACATTTTCTATCGCGTTACCTCCTAAAAAACTCCCTCGACACCGTGTCAGTAGGCTTCAGCCTTCCGCTCCGCTGCATCGTTAGAAGTTGCTCCTCAGCGATAAGCGTCTGCGTGATCGTCACATCCCTCATGCTAGACATCGCACTCTTTTCCCAGAGAACTTTCATCTTCGGAAGTGTGTTCTTGATCTTCTGTGCTATGTCGAGCACCTCTGTGAGGCGTGCGCTTCCAGACTTGACCAGGGCGTCAAAGGCAAAAGCAAGATAAACTGTGGTCGCGATGTCAATATGGGAGATAGTGGGGCAGGAAAAGGGAAAGAAACGCACAGCAGTGCAGTTCGTCGTCCTCAGGATATGTCTCTGCGCCCTGCTTATAGTGGTCTGCGGCTTTGCGGTAGAGACTTGACACCTCACCGGAGCTCGTGGGCAGCGCCTCTGCTTTCTTGCGATAGCACAAGCCGAGCGTACTACGAAGATTTAGCTTCGACTTAAACGAATGTAATATAACGGAACGTACGTGAGGGCTTGGCTGCGCGGGTACGCGTAGAATGCCAGATATGACGCGGGGTCTTTTTCCGGAGAGAATTTCTCGTCGTCTTTAAGGGCGTCTAGTTCGTGAAGCAGATCCTGTGCGTCCTTGTAGAGCCCCTCCAGGGGAAAGCGCTCCGAATCATGCGCCTATTGATGAACCCATGAGACGAAGCAGGTCCCCAGAAGGGCGAAGAACAAGAGAATACCGCACCATAAGGTAACAATCAAGCTTCAAACACTTGACACCACGCAAAAATTCGGCATCGAATACCTCTCCTCGCTCTTCTCGCGAAACGTCTTTCCAGAGTTCTTGACACCGTTGGATGAGCTCAATAACCATCCTGTATGTTTCTAATGCAGACGCGTATTCGCGTTCGACACTGCCTTCGTTGAAAGCGCGGAAGATGAACACACTGCCGTCCGTACAGTGTCAGCGAATCAAGTATGGTATTTGGTAACAAGACGAACCGGATGGTAGTATTTATTGCTGGACGTAACACGTCCCAACTCTCTGTCTCTTTCATTTTGAGCACCTCAGTCATAATGTTCTCTGCGCCGCCTGCTCTGACGATAGCTTTGTCATGCTGCGCCTCAAAGTCGGCTGCACATACAACGTCAACGCTTGGCATAGCTTCAAAAGCGAGCAGTATCTCGTACCTTGAAGGTTGCACAGCCGGGGGTAACCATTTGGATCCTCAATTCGGAAGGCACGGTGATCAGTAATAAGGGCTTTCACCAGGTATCTGATCGCCTAGCACAAGCTTGATCAGCCAATGGTATCTGAATGGTACTTCATGAGAGGCGTACGCCCAATTGCCCCGAATAACCTGGCCTGCCGCTCGGTGTTACGATCTTTTGGATCATTCTCATGGCCCGCATGCCATCGTTATAGTCCTGGGACGAGGTCACGTGTTGAGTACCATTCGCAGATATCACGGCAAGTCTTACCATAGCAGCTTCGAGCAAAACCCACCTCTTCAAATATAGAGTACCCTGAGCAAGTTGAAGACGTGTTAACGGGCAGGAACTCACACTACTATATGTCCCACTCCTCCCTCTTTCGCGAACGACCTCCTCCAAATTCAGCACTCTGTCCCAAGGCAAATCATGATCAGCCGATAGAATGGGACTGGGGGTCGTCTTCTGTTTCATCTTGCTTTTGACGTAATCGATATCGAGCTCGCATTCGCGCTGTATATTCTTGTCTGCTTGCGAGAGGTTGCTGTCCGGCAGCAGCTCGAGAGCTTGATTGTACGCGTCAAGACTTGGTTCCCACTGGCCTAAATTCTAATACCCCTTAAGGAAGACATGCGGCGGAAAACTACGAAACATACCTTCCGGATTGCGCCTAATCTTGCCCATGCTTTCGCATACTTAGAGTTTAGCTGCGTAGCCTTGACGGAACTTTCAGACCCGGCATTTGTAACTGTAAAACTCGAATATTACCTTCTCACAGTCGCTCTCGGCGTCGAGGAGCCTAAGCAAGTATTTGCTGCGTCAGTCTCAGTGACAACATGTCGCGCATTTCAGCACGCACTTGTTCATCGCCAACGCGCACGCCGCCCGGTTCGCCCAAAGAATGGCGTTCCCCGCGTCAACTTCAATCGCTTCTGAGTACTTTGCGTGCGCTGCACGGTAATCTTTCGCTAAGTAGAGCTTATTGCCCTCGTCTTTCAGCGCGGTCGCGCGCGCCGGGTCGCTGGCCTTGCTTGACGACATCCTGCAATTGAGACACACGGACTTGAACAATGAAACGAGGGAAGGGATAAGCAGGAAGTGATTAAAAACAAAGTCAAGTCAGTCGCCATCAATGGAAAACGCTGTAGATCACCGAATTAGTCTCGTGCAGCCTCGTGTTGAGGAGCAGCCAGCCAGCGGCTCACGTGAAACGTGACGGGAATGGGGCGCGTTTGTGACGGACGCGACTCATAGTCGGCGCGCCGCCTATAGTCGCGCATCAGCTCCTAAATAGTGGGGACAGTTTTAGCTGCTTTCTACGCGAATAAAAGGCAAAGATAAGTCAGAGAGAAGACAGGAACGGCGCCTATGTGTGCACTAGTAGTTACTTCGCGCTGATAAGGTGCTATAACGGGTTGATCGAGTCCGCTCAAATCCTACTGTACAGAGGAAGCCAAAGGGACGAAAAGATATTGAATCTTTCAAGGAGCCGTTGTATAGGTACCGCTCATTTCATAGCCTGCTGGACTGGAGTGAGACCCCGTCAGACCTGAGTGACGCCAGACGAATATCATGTAGTGCGTATGGCATGCTCTACTAGTAGGTTCAAACGATGCAACCGGACGAGCAATGCAGCACCCGGGTGCACACCTAGACTCGCCGAATCTTTCCTGATATTAGCAAAAAGTTGAAGCACGTTGAGGATTTGCTGCCAGTGGCCGCTCTTCGGAGCGGGAAGAGCTAGTACTCAGGCCGAAGTATCAATGAACGCATATAATGTCTGGTTACGAAGCATACCTTGAGGGAATGACAAATAAAGGTCGGGGTGCTTAACCGCAGAATGCCGTGAGGTGAGGCGTCCGCAACTGCCCTTGACAGAACTGAGGGCAGTAACCAACGTCATAGGACGTGAAGACAGCGAGACTCATGGAGCGTGATGTGTGCTAGCAAAAATGGTGTCTTACGGCGGGTTTATGTGCGGTGGTGATAATGTGCGAGCGTTGTCATGTGCAAATATGACCATGGTCTTTCATCTCGGAGATAGAAGATATGAGAGCCGCTGCGAGTCCACGACTTGGGTACTTACATGTGTACAAGATATTGCGCTTGTGGTTAGCATATGGTCACGACCCATGGCACGAAGTTGCCCACCGAGCGATGTACCTCCAGCAGGATATGGTGCGATGTGGGCTTTAATCACGACGTTCTCACATAGATACTAACGGATTCCTCTGTGCCTCTGTAAATACTGGAGCTCCTTTGGGCAAGTCAGTAGGCCGATGTGTGCAGGAAATGCAGGATGTGGCACCGCCACTTTTTGTGAAATTCTGGTGATGACCAAGATAAATATTGCGGGCAGTGCGAAGCGATTCTTCCTCGCAACTGAGGTACATAATATTTGAAGCACCTGCAATGTGATTGAGTTTGATTTACGAGAGGGTGACCCGTGCTATGCACGGGCGGAGAGAATTGAGAAGAGAGTTTAGAAGAGAAATCGAGTGAGAAATGAGAGGAACGCGCCGCGCCGCCCGCCGCCAACCTTCGGTTGGCTGGGCGCCCCGTGAGAGGCGCCTCGCGAGAGGGATCACTGGCCAATGAGAGTGTGTCTTTGTCTCGGGGCTTTGACGTCCGAGGTGTTTTAGTATATTAGATTTAGTATATAGATAGATGTGGCGTCTAACAGTTGCTGAAACTAAAGCTCCATCACGTGCCGACTAGCAACCGTGTTGAACGCGGGAGGGTTGGAGAAAACCGAATACAACACCATCGAAACGTCTCATACATGCTCTTGCTATTGCCCCGTAACCTCCCTAGATTATTTCGCTCGGTCAGTCCAAGCTTTGTCACTTGTGAAGACTGTGACTTACGCGTATCGTCATTGAATAGGCGCACAGTAGCCAAGTCGTGAGGAACGGACTCATCAATAGAGCGTGGACAAGCCGGGACACGCATCTTCGTCACCATTCAAACTCACCACCACAGACGATGACCAACGACCTGTCTATTGCTGTTGGCAGCACACTTCGTGACCGTTACGAAATCCTGCATTGTATTGCTCGGCAGCGGTTTTCGACGATTTGGATGGCTCGAGATGCCCAGTAAGTGCTATTGATCCCTCACAAGACATCTTCTTGATTATTTATCTGCTGCAGACTGAATGATTACGTTGCATTGAAGGTACAGTCGCCCGATAAGCCTGTTCCAACTTGCGGATGTGCAGATGTGGCGAAGGCCATAGTCCCTACCAACGAGGACGAGGAAGCTCATCCTGGACGGACAAGCCTGCCGATTCTTCTGGACTCTTTCGCGCTAGAATCTGCTCCCGGAAAACCAGAGTTCCACTGCCTCGTAACACCTTTGCTAGGCCAGTCTATCACTACGATGTGCCACGACGGCTCCGCGTCTTTGCCCTGGGACGTCGTCAAGCGTATCTGCATTTTTCTACTGTTTGCGCTCGACTACCTACACAATGTCAAGGGCGTCATTCACACTGGTGGGTGATTACCTTCAACGATGCTGTCAATATGACATAGGCGCCACCCGTTCACTGCCACGCCACAGACATCCACCCGGATAACATACTTATCCAACCTACGGAAAGAAATGGACCGGCTGCTATCGCGAGTTTTCTGAAAAACTTGGATCCGAAAGCCGACCCAGTCGGGCCTGTGTCGTTTCCTGTGGGAGACGTGAGGGATTTAGCCGTGTCATTAGCGGACTTGGAAACTGGTATATCCCATTCTCTTAATGTTTAAGAGACGAGCCCTCATGCTACCTCAGCACATTTGATGACAAATCGAGACAAACACGACTTCGTGGTCCAACCTCATCACCTGCGTGCTCCAGAAGTGATTCTAGGAGCTCAGTGGGGTCCTCCAGCCGACATATGGAGCTTAGGTTGTCTCGTACGTATCCGCCTGTATAAGCCGTGATGAAGCGACTTATCATCGCGCATCCTCTTCGTTGTTGCGCAGATACACGAATGGGCAACCTGTAGCGTTCTCTTTGCGCACGATACCGTCACTGGCAATCCACAGCAGATTCTTGCGCATATGGTTCAAGTTCTTGGTAACTTCCCTCCAGAACTAGTTCAGAAGGGACGTTGGGCAAGTGGGTGGTTTAATGACGACGGTTCGTTGCTCACTTGTGCGAGCGTGTATATCACCTAATCGCGCCACTGCGATTGTACAGGTTCCATGAAGATTGCACCAGAGCGGATCGGTTCATCATTAATGTTTGGTCCGCTAATTGCCTATAATTTATTTGAAGCACCTGGCTACAGGCCGCCTTTGCCTGAGATTGACGAGCTAGAGCTTGGGAAATTCATACATTTCCTCTCTCAGATGCTCTGTCTCGATCCAGAGAAGCGTTGGTCGGCAATCGATCTCGTCAAACACCCTTGGCTATTCTCCACCTTCACCCAGTATTATCACGATATGGTGAAAGCGGTGCAAGAACGTGTGGCGGCAGAAGCGGCGGTGGCCGACTCGAGCGGCAAAGGAGATATCTAGAGCATGGGAGTGAACTCAAATGCCGAGGAGAATGTACGATACTAGGGCCCTACGACGATGCCTGTTTCTCTCTATTGTTTCGGCAACATGCCCGACATTGTACACCTACATTAGAGTGGTCGCATTGAGTATGCTACATGCCAGATATGGATCACTTGTTATCTGATGCTACCAACCTTCACATCGAGCGGAATACCCTGGGCGATAGTTGCTGCCTCCGGTGCAGACAACGCAGAGAGTAAAGCATCGCCTGTGGCGGCAAACCCGAAGGCGCGAACGTCGAAGAGTGGAAGGTTGGAGAGTGAGACACGAATTTGATAGCTCTGACAAGTCGGCCACACGCCAATAAATAGGACTTGAACTGCATGTATAAAAACCTTCATATTATTGACAAACATTGTTCAAGCCATTAGAGTCATGTAGAACCAGAAAAATTCAAAGCACAATATTCTCAATAGTATCATGGCCGACGTCAGATCTCAAACCCCAAATGTACTTCCATGGTGCTGTATGCTCCATCTCTTGCACGAGTGGCACTTGAGTGTCCATATGGTTAATGCGCATATCAAAATTAATAAACGGCAACACGACTTACTGCCTTGCGATGGCGTCAGGAGTTGGTATCAGCCATTCTCCGTCCGTATCATTCTGGCTATTGACGTGCATGAGGAGCTTCAGAGAGCCATCGGCACCGTGCCCCTCGACCGTGTAATGAGATTTGCCCCAGAAAGAGGTACTCTTGTGGGCGGGACTCCTGTCGATAGCGTTGCAGTGGCATCAGCATCTGTGAAGACATATACATGAAAGAGTAATATTCATTGAACTTACACGAGGACGAGCCTGGCAACATCATTGTCCTTGAGGACCTGCTGGTTAGCTTGGGCCCACTTGCCGATATGCCTTGATATTACTGTCAGGAGTCCACTGTCCATGGCTGTAGCAGAGTCGTGGACACCCGCAAGAATGGCAATAGTCCTGATGCCTCGTCTGAAAAATAGGCTCATCGTAGAAAATTGCGAGGCGAGCTTAGAAGGTGGAATGACGAAGCCATGTTCGCCAACTGGGCCTTTATGTCCTTCCCGGCCTAGCAGATGCTGCAGAAGACCTCAAAGTGAGTATATGGAACAGTGGTTTGAAGTTTCACCGTCCTTATCCTGTGGTGCGGCACCTTTCATGAAGGGCTCCTAGCCAAATAGCACATTGTGACTCGGAGGGAGACGATATACACAGCCATTGGTGGCGCATCGATTTGAGAAGTAAGTGGTGCCGAGCCAGGGCGTGTTGAGAAATCTGGATACCTGGATAATGGCCTGTTATGCTACAGCGTGTTGAATGCGAGGATGGGAGCCGTTGTACTTACCAAGTTACATCCCAATCACCCATGGCTTGAATTGGAGCTCAGCTTCTCGATACCAAAATCGACAAATATAGGCACAAGATTCGGCCGACTGTTCATGTAACACTTGGAGTGAGACAAGGAGACTGAAAGATGAGAATAATACAGCAGATGAGTCACCTTGAGCAGCCGCACAGATAGCGCAGGGACGAAGCTTCGCCGATGCAAAAGGGCGTGCTGCTTGATTCCACTAGCACCGCAGACGACCTCCCCCCCCCACCCCCCAGCGCACTCACCGTGCCCTCAGTTCAAACATGGTACTAATAGAAGAGCCTCCAACTATTTGCGAAAGCTATGAACAGGATGAGCTAGGTAATTTGCCGCAGTATATTGCGCCACATTGACAACTCGCAGACATCGAAAGATCCCGGTATGGAGAAACGCAATAGCATCCACGCACCATCAGCACGTATGCAATTTCAAGGATCACCAGAAATAACTTCCGCACCTAATTGACCCGTTGCATATGCCGTGATAGCTCATGCTCAGGCATCTAAATGACTCCGAGGTTGCACTCATTATCGCAGCAACCGGGGTGCGCATTACCATTAGCTAGCCAACCTAGATCAAATTTGTGCGCACAGACCGCAGTTTATCAAGCTCTTGTTTAGGTAAATACAAAGCACTGAGGGAAGCTGCGGTTCCTCACAGCAAGACCGCTCCGGGAGAGACACACTATCAGTAGATTCGAGGCAGTGCGTCCTTTGTGCTAGCTCACCGATCCGCCGAGACAATGGTTGTAAAGGTTCAGCTAGGGCATTCGACTAGATCAGCGAGCTGTGATCGCCTTTCATATCTTTGGTATCTGCCGCGAGGAGAAGAGATGATGTTAGTAGGCGTGTCAGGAGTTAATGACTCATCCGGCATTGTCAGCGGAAAAGCACACAGGTGCTAGCTTCTCTGGGCATCCAATCAGCTGGCGCAGAGAAAGCAGGCTATGAGAAGCACAAGGTTAAATATGAATGGTCTAGAGCCGTAATACTCGTGAGCTGTGGAAGCAGTCCGACACCAACAAGCTATCATCAAGCCACACTTACCAATCTGGCCCATTCCATCACTTCGGTAGCGCCGGAAATCTCA